TGCCCTTCGTGATTACTGTTACCAGAGTGATGATAATTTTCATTCAACATAGGTGAGGTCATAGCCCCGAGTATCATCTGAACTACCATTAAAAGACACTGCTGGTAAAATCCTTGCAAAACATGCACCATTAAAATACCTCTCATTGACAGAACAAGTATTATCTCTTCAGGAATAACAAAGCTGTTAGAACAAGATGAGCTCAACAGCACGTGTTATGTGAAACCTGCGTATATACAGGATAAATTCAAAATTAATACTATTGTAATAGTAAAAATAGAAACGCGTGGTATTTTTATGCACTACACTTCCCTCTTGCAACTACTTCAAGCTTCTCCTCAACTCAATTATTAATGTTAACTTAAAACCAATACAACTTAAACTCGTCCGTGAAAACACTTATTGGCAACATAGATGTTACATTCCTTTAACGTTGAAATCACACAATTTACAAGAACCCTGTAATGAAGAATAATAGGGAAATTACCATAATGCCAGCACTAAATGTTCTTTAATAAAGAATCATTGCTAGCAATACAAATTTAACATTTTCACAATGACACATTTCAATAAACAATTTAACCTAATATCAAATAAAGCAAGAGAAGTTCCATAAATAACGTAACTTTCTGAATACTTTAATTCACAACAAAACAGATGTGTGTGTGTGTGTATGTATATAAAACTTACAGTCATGCTAAATAGAACCTTTTACAGAATGCAGAACATAGCAAAGAACCCTTTAATATAAACACCATAATTACAACTGCAATTCATCACGATACAATATACAAAATAAACCACCACACTTTAAATTCAAATATAAAACAAACACTTAAAATAATTTTAAATCCATACCACGTACTACGATAAAATAAACTTTTAAAAGTTACACAAAATATCCCTCTTACAACACTTATTTTAGAGCATACATTCAAAACTACAAATGTAAAACTCTTGAACAATGAAATGAATTCATATAGAAAAGCTTTTGAACAATGAGGACCTACACAAAGCCATAAGAAACACCCATGATAACTACATTTAAGACATAAAACCCAAAATGAAACGTATTATCATTCTTAATAAAATATTTACAAAGTGACTACTTTTACATTTTCCAGTACTATACATTATACGTTACAAAAAAGGAGAAAGAAGACTATAATAATAATACACAACCTTGAAACTTATAAAATAAAAATAATATACACTAGCCCAGGGTGTTTTTGAAGCTCAGCCACCCTTTTCTTCACTTCACGCCTGAAAAATAATCCTCCATTGTTGCAGTCATCTGGTGATTGGCCATAGTTGCTACCCTGATGCTACTTTGAGCTTTCTCCTTGGCCCTTTTGTGTCCACCATTTCGGTCTGCAAGTGGCATACTTTTTCTTTGGACAGCTTGGACTATGACAGAAGTGTATATTTCTATCACAGCCAGTCCTTATCTCTGTTATAAATGACCCAGACCTTCATCCAATGTGGGGTCGTCTCCTGAAAATATTGCTTAAATATGGAGACTGCTGCAGAGTGAGGTAATCCATGATGATAGTAGATGGAGTGATCAGGAGTTGTACTCTTGACATGCTACTGGGGCAATTTGCAAGACCTTTTTGGTGGTTTTCAACTGCTGGAGCTGCAGAAGGTCATTTCTTCATTTCATTGGTGACCTGGGAAGACTTAAAAGTAGGTACTTCTTTTTGCGAAACACATTCCCTCAATCACTGTTGGTGGTGTTACCACCACTGATGAGGATTTTACTGCCATCTTGCTCTGAAGGCTACTGGTATGTCCATTGGAGATTTATTTCTCTGCCACTATGGTGTTAAGTGTCAGTCGAGCGTTGATGGGTACTTTGACCTGTCTCTTTAGCGTGTGGCCACCCTTCGAGGTAACTTCAACTCTGAGAAGGTTTTCTTGAGCTTTGAGATGTAATGGTCTCACTGGATATTGTCAAACATCTAATGCCTTGATCGTGCCATTGTTTAACACCTTGCAAAATGACATCTCAGGAGAGACTTATATTTCTGAGATATTTACCACGACTTCTATTTTACTGCAATAATTACTTCTGTTGGTAGGTGTGGCTGAGCAGCGTGCTGGCTTGGTTCAACTACCATAGAGGAGATATGGGTCAGTGAAGATTTCTCAACCATAGCAGGCAGTTTGTCTGGGAGTACTTGGATTCTGTGGGTTGGCCAGCCCCAAGAGACTTCAGACTCAGCCTCAAAACTATCTGGGCAAGATTCTATAATGTGTATTGCTGAACAATGAACTTTCATCCATGAGTTCTACTGAGTAGAAAGCCAGTCAAATTCCAGGGCATCTTTGGTTTGGTGAGGAAGTCCAGTTCCTTGCCAAACAGGAAGTTCTGAGTATACTTTCGTTCACCATAATTTTCTTCCTCTATTATATATTTAGTGGCTTCAAAACATTAATTATTGAAATGACACTGGCTAGTTGAACAAAAAAAGATAATCAAAATGGTCAAATAACGCTATTTTAAATAGTAAAAGTCTGGATTGAAAATGTCAAGGTCACGTGAATTCCAAGTGTTCAGAAGGCCAATTAGAAGTACAGGTTTAAAAGGGTCATAATTTCCAGGTTACAATCATTGCTTTCCTCTAAAAACTACCTTTAGAAGCAGAGTAATCAGTGGATTATCTTGGTCAAGTGACATTTCTATGTAGTCCACAGGTGCTCATGCTCTAACCACTTACAGAACAATAGAACATGTATTCCTGATGTCTGTGAACTTCTCGACCCACAGGCCTCATTGGGTCTCCATGTGACCAATACATTAATAACCATGATGCCCCTGTTGCCATTCCTGCAACAGTGTACATTGTCTTTACTCTTTGACCCAGATCCATTCATTTCATTATCATTTGATGTGTAAACAGTATTTGGTTCCAGTAGGAACAAAATGGGTTTGAGAATGTAAAACTGGTTTCTAAACACATTAGCTGAGTCACGATAAGTGACGCCAACCTCTCTTTCTGACCAATAGAATCCAGTGATGTTTATATTGTCTTTTTTTAGGGATCTTCTTTCAGTTACAAGTTTAGTACTAGTTTTGGTGCAATTTACAAAGTTTCACTATGTGTGTGTATGCTACTTTCCAACTTCAACTAGTATACTTACAGCTTACATTTT